CAATAATATGAAATTAGTATTAATAAATTAATTTGTACTACAGAGGTGGCACAGAAGAACACAAAATTGGCTTGTAGGTACATTTTCAGATGTTTAATGAGGTTCAGAGGTGGCATGAGTGCAATTAAATTCATAAATTCATGTGGAGAATAATGTTTTAAATATAAAATTTTGAATACAGAAATATGATTTAAATAACTGAAATTATAGCTAGTCACTGGCAAGCTAGGCAAGTCACTGATTTTATCACTGAATCATTCAATCAATTGATTCGTTCGAACGGCTGAATCATTCAGGAATGAAGCAAGTGACTGTGTCTTTATGAACTGATGGAAATCCGTCTTAGTGACAGAACTTTAATCCCTGTAATAATGATGATACTTTTTTTCTCAAACAGCCTTGTAATATGACACATTTGCTTTGAACTATTTTTACTGTAATATCAGTTTGATTATTTTGATGGTACCCTTTAGACAGCTGTTGATAAGTAACTCTGCAACTACATGTCAACTAGCAGTCATTGGAGTATCAGTAGTATGTCTGCTAAATATATGCTAACAATTTATTTGGTTAAGGTTAGGGTAGGTATAATGTTGACGTACTTGCAAAGTTACTTATAGTCAGTTTGTCTGTAGGGGAACCAACCTAAGCCTACTAATACTCTGATGAGAGTTAGTTGACATGTAGTTGCAACGTTGCTTATAGTCAATAGACTAAGGGGACCATCAAAATAAAATACAACCTAACATATAAACATTGCATTTTTTCAGCTGGAATGATTAACTAGCTCACATCAAAATTAATATTTGCCTCACAGGGAACACTCAAATAACACTCCACACCTAAGCACTTACAAGATGTAGTAAGATACTGTGCAGATCTTAAATAAACAATGTCAAGATATATAGTCCATTATAAATGTAAAAGTAGATTTAATATGGTGTTCATTGTGTGTTATAAATAATCATAATCTTATAACCACAAATGCGTAAGCATTATAATGTATTATAATTGTTGTTATGATTATTTATAAGATTATATAACATATTATAAGGTTTTTTATAATGCATTATGCATTCATTATAATGCCTTAGGAATACCCTTATAATGTGTTATAAATATGGGCTTCATAGAAAGTGTTACCGTTTTTTTTTGTGGAAACAAAGCACTTGCATTGCTTAATAAAATTGAGGTTAAATCACTGGAGTCACATGGAGTATACTTTAACGATGTCTTTCCTACCGTTTTGGGCTTTGAATGTGTAAGTTGTGTTGCTGCCTATGGAGGGACAGAAAGCTCTCAGATTAAATAAAAAATATCTCCATTTGTGTTTGGAAGAGGAACAAAGGTCTTAGAGGTGTGAAACGACATGAGGGTGAATAATTAATTCAATTTTTTGGTGAACTATCTCTTTAATTCATCCATGGTTCCATCATCCAACTGGGAGAAAAGAAAAAAAAAGAGAAAAGAAATAAGCTGTTTTGGTGCTCAGTGCAAACTGGCTAAGTATGTATTAAAATATATACTATCACATATTGCTCACTGAATGTTATTACAGAAGGAAAAGCTGTGCTGCTCTACAACTTTGCTTGCTAGCTGATAAGTGATGCTAGCTTGCTAGTTAAAGGTAGCTACTTGTTTTTATGGACAAAATGACATTTTTAAAGGTGCTTTATGAAATCATTTTCAAATATTAATTGCTTTTTATTGCCAATGTGTGAACAGCATGTAATGAAACTTTAAAAATGAGAGCCTGTAGATTATTTTTTATGTGAAGGACTCCAAGGGAACCTATCATAACAGTGTAATTTTAATCAACCTCATATTTTGACATGATGTCGGTGAATCACATTGGCCATCGCACGCTCGCATTACTATGGAGTGTGTGCAAGAGCATGAGCAATAAGTTGGTGGCCACAGCTCACTTAATGGCCACCGGTTTCGCTAATAACAAGGGTTTCTGAATTCTACATAGAGCCCTTTAACAGCGAAATATCAGCATTTTTAGGAGTTCATCTTTACTGTTGACAGTGAAATAGCTTGAGACATCCTCTTGAGTTGGATTAGGCAGTATAACAATACAGTTTTGCAGGACTGCTTAATTTTTGAAACACTGATCAAGAAATGATAAAGGAGCAATAAAGAAACATACAAAAACAAAGCACAGACATCAGAATCAGAATCAGAATCAGAAAGAGCTTTATTGCCAAGTATGTTTGCACATACAAGGAATTTGTTATAGTGTCACAAGCTTCCATTACACGGAGACAACAACAACACACAGATAATAAAAATGAGATGTGAATAAAATACACATGCATAAATATAAACCACAAAAAAAATAATACATTGTATGTACAGGTGTGCTATAGATGGAATAGGAATAAAATAAAATAAGTTGTAGGGATGTACTAGGGTTTAGGGTGATAAATAGGTATAAGGTTATTGCACATACTTTAATTGCACAATGGGAGAACATTAACTGT